AAACCCAGCCCTGATTCGAATAGAACAGGCCACATGCTAAATTTGATAGTCTCAAGATGAGGAGAGTTCTTTTCGATTGGATTGAGATGGAAACTCAGTCTCAGTTACAAACTTGCAAAGGGTGAAAGATCAGTTAAAATGAACTGATAGATCCAAATGTTTCCTGAATGAGTTTGGGGAATTTCCCATCTCATCTGAAGTTCATTTGTTGAAGTCGTATAGGAATGTGCAAAATATTTGAATCCAAACAATGTAGATTTGAACCATCCGGTTTGAAATTCAGAACAGTCACTGATGATTTTGAAAGCATTTCAAACTCAAGATGCAATGTTTAAATTAACGCAATCAAGAAATATAATTATAACAGCTGATGGATGCTAATATCTTGTTTTCCATTTTAGTGTGGAAAATCCTTTTTCAAATATGTGCCAAACATCTACTGAAATATTTCAAAGAACCCAACATAACTTACTCGCAGATTTTTTATAGGAGTGAAATCCCATTTGATATCTCTACTCAAAGCTGTCACATTTACTCCTCTGGGAATGTATATACTTTGAGTCCGACTACTAATGTCTGTCAAAGGTCTTTGGATACCATCAAAAATGGATCCCATGATACCTGGGCCAAGTTCCACAGAGAGAGGTTTGCCAGTGCGAAGCACAGGATCTCCAACTGAAACACCAGCTAAAAAATTTGTTGAGGAAATTACTCGGGAAAACAGTGTCAAATACAACCTGTGTTGGTGTAAATTTTTGTCTGATGATGAGTCAAAGATTCATTATTAACAATCTAAACCAAACATTTCATACATAATTCATGTTTGCACTTATAATTTTCTAAAGAATTTTAATTTTTGTTAATTGATATTATACATAAGAATATTATTAAATGCTTGTCGTTTAACTATAATTGTTAAACCACCCATATTTTATCTTTCCATTACTTTATACACTCTAAACTCATAGCTTAAGCTAAAAAAATCTAAGTTGCATATCAGCTAAAAGGATACAGGTTTCCTCATACACCTGGATAGTAGCCATGTCGCCCTCCAACCGGATAATCTCTCCTACAAGCTCACTATTGCCAACTCGTACCAATTCATACATAGCAGCTCCTGCCATGTTGCAAGCAGTGACCACTAAGAAAAACAAAGAAAAGGATTATATAGATTGAATTATGATTCTAGCTAATAGTAGCTTTGTATTTTCTTCACTATAAATTTTATCATTTGGCCTGAAAGAATTAAGCATTATTTTTAATAAATGTGAGGATAGGATTCACATCTAGTGTTTTCTGAACATGAGCTCAACTAACATTATTAGACATGCAAAAATAATAATGTCAGAAAAAAGATGGTCACACTGAAGTACAGAAACTCTAGTGTACTCCTTTGGAACAGTAATGGACAAGAAATTTCACCTCTCTGCTCAGCTGCTAGCTCACTTATTTAATTAAGTTCACTAAGAGCCCTATTGAACTCTTTACAGTAATGCAACTTTCCACAAGATAGATCTAAATGGGCTACTAAGAGAACCACATATCTATCTTCTGAACTGATAAAGTCATTTATTTGTCATTTATCATAGAAATTGGATAGAATCCTTCAGTGAAGAGAAGAACTTCTGAAACTTGGGTCAGACTTTATCCTGACTGGCTTGCTTTTGTAGCCAAGAACTTGAATGATGCCTGTTTGAGAGAGAGTATATTAAAAAACTTTCATGAAAATACATCAGTATGAGCTTTAGTAACATGCATCATTGTACCTAAAAATTCTGGAGAGAACCATCAAGAATACTTACATATTCTTTTTCTTCAATAGTATAATATAAACAAGTGATCGACAAAGATAAGGTACACCAGCCATACAACAAAATCACAACTGAGATAATTAAAAGCAGGTGAAAGAAAAGGAGGAAAAGAATCTAATAACAGTAAGAAAAAAAATAATTGTTTCTTAATCTGAGAAATGTATGGCTAGAGTAAACTACACTAAAAAATAAAATAAATATATATCTTAGTTTACGTGACAGTTCTTTGATGTTGCTTTCTGAAACATCCTTTGTTTCAAATTTTATATGTTAGTACATCNACATTCCCACCCCACTCCAGCGGAAGGATACTGCAAAGTCTCCATTCCCATCCCACTCTAGGGCCAGCCAGATGTGGCATTTGCCAGTTCTCTGACCTACTCAAAATTTCTGCTACTAGTTCTCCAGAACCTGTCAGAACCTGCTGGATTTCACCCCTGGTCCAATCTTATCATGATCTGTCTAGAGATCCATAAGAATGGGTGTCAACTTCAATGGTTAGTAGTTGTCTGTATTTTAAATTTTCCCATTTTGAAGATAGTGAAAACATTTCTTCTTCTTCAGACATCTGTTATTTTATCAGTTCTTCAGAATTTCTCAAAGAGATAAAATTTCAGCCAGATCATGAGCATGTTTTCTCAGTATTACAGAATGCAGTTTATCTGTCCTTGGCCTTAAATCATTTAAAGGATAGATATTCCTTCATCATAATTTTACCATTCTCAGTCTTCAATCTTGAATGTCTTGTTTTTCACCATTTCCTGGTAGAACTATTACTTTCATTGAGTGCTGTCAAGTCAATGTTGATACTTAGAGCTACATATTTTTCTCAAGATGATCTTTGCTCAGCATGGCCTTTTAGGTGTTTCAATAATTTATTTACTACAGTTGCAAATATGTTGATCCCTCTTGCTGCTGCTGACCCTCTTCTGGGTCCTTCCAGTTTTCACAACATTATGGATTTCTTCTTTTCAGCCTCTTTTTTGAGGGAAAAATGTGTGTCTTATACTCCCAAAAATATGGTACTTTTTGTATTGGGATAAAATTTCCATTAGCCCCAAGTTTCTTCAAATCTAACTAGAAAGAACAAATGACATAGTGCAGTATTTTGTAGAGTACTAGAATAATCTTCTGAGGTTAAACAATAAATCCTTTATTTTAAAATGGGAGATGTCACCTAAGTAACCCGAAAACAATGGTATTCACTCCATTAGAATGCTGTCCTATCTGGAGGAATAGAAGAGGATACTGGGTCTATTTTGCTTCCTTACGTTACAGTTAAAAACAGTTGTACAATAACTGATGTTATCAGTTATATTAAATCAATCCACATTTGAGAGGAAATACATTTCTAGGAACTCTCATTTAAATTATAAGTGGGCCTTGCATACATAATATATTTACCGTACTAGTGGTGTTTCTTTTTAATCATCTCTTTAGAATTAATACTCTGCATACTATCTTTGTATGCAGCTTAATAATAAACAGATTACTGAAACATCAAGGTTATTAGCTCAATTTCCATGCATTTTGCAAAAATATTAGCATGACAAATTGACTCCCTGAGTTACTGAATCTGGTAACCCATTCAATCAAGAATGGCAGATAAAATTATCTAGGAAAGACTAGTGCCTTGAAAAATATGATGAATAATATGCCTCATTTCCTACTGTATTCACCAAAGATTACCTTTACAGATTCATAGCAAGAAAGTGAAACAAAAATTTATCTAGGTGATAGAGCTTAAATAAGAAGAATTAGGGCTAAAAATAGAGATATATAATTAAATAAGTATAATAATTAGATTTATATAAATTTTAATAACAAGTAGAGCTTGTAGGAGAACAGATAACATAATTAAAACCAAAATTTCAACATTTTTATGAATAAAAAAATCATTTGGCTGTTAAGTAAAATATTAATACATTGAAGACAGCCAATTGCAACTGAGATTTTGTTAGAAAGTGAAAAGCTAGACTAACAATTGCTCTGAGTTGCTTCAGTTTTGTTAAATATGATACCACTATCTTTTTCCTTCAACTTCATACTAGTAAGAAACTACCAAATGTTTAGGATAATGCCAAAGAAATGGAAGAGAACACATCACTCTGACAACATAGCTTCAGTCTTAATAATATGAAAGGCTGCTTTAACCTAATTTAAACCAGGGAACCATCTGTTAATATTGATTATCAATGACATGTAGATTTCCCAGTATTGCCTGAAGATGCTGGGATTCAACTTGGAAACTTCTGCATTCAAATAAATATTCTATCCATCATTTACATCAATTTCTGCCAACCCAAAAAAGCAGCCACCTTTATTGAAATTATTGGGAAGCAAGGAAAAGTGTGACTAAAAAAACGGAAAAGACATAGACAATAAAAAAAGAAAGGACAATTTCTCAAAATAAGGTTATTATGTGCATATAAGTTCCTTACAGGTGCAAGTTCTGTCTAAATTCTGTTGCCTACATTCTGGAAATAATTTGCCATATTTTATTTTCTGCCATTAAAAAAAAATGTTCTTATCCTCAATACGGCAAATTTTATCTTGCCAAATGACTTTTCGTATACTAATTCATTTATTCTTCTCATTAATAAATGTACTAATCACTTAGTGGGAACAGAATGTATAAGAGCACCATATTGTTGTACCTGCATAAGCAACAAACTTTCTAAGCATGCCATATAATCCATTTGATTGTAAAATGCTTGTGGGTCTGAGATGTGAAAAATAAAAAGTGGAAATATAAAATGCCATACTTGATAAAATAAAATGAAGGTCTTAACGGCAACCAGTTCCATAAAATAGGCATTTGAAAATCTTTGGAGGGACCCTTTGCTTCAATTAAATTTGAATAAAACACCCTCTCAAAGCTGATTCATGAAACAACATCTCCTCTTCAATTTTAAAACGGAAATGAAATTACTATGCTGATGCTCTTTTCTCTGCTTGACAGGCCCCTTCAGGACAGCCTTTTTATCTTTGCACCAAACGTAAGGTGACCAGATTTTCAGATTGGTAAAGAGGGACACCTTTGACCGGGGCGGGGGGGGGGGGGGTTGATTAAAAATTTTATATGGAACAACAAAAATTTTCATATAACGCAAAAATAGTATTGTAATTTTTTTTATTTCAACATAACTACAATTTACAAATATAAATTGTAACTCTTGCCAAACATCAACATTTTGATCACGTGACCATGAGGATACTGCAACGGCCGCTAAGTGTGAAAATGGTCGCTGTGAAAAATGGTCATCAGTCACTTTTTTCAATGCCATTGTAACTTTGGTCACTATACCAGCTTTCTTGCCACAGTTCGAAAGTGAATAACTACAGCTG